AGTCATGCCCAGCGTTTTGGGTGTTAACACGAATAAGGAAGTACTGAAGAAAGATCCTGGAAGCAAGTGGAAATTCCTAAATGCTACCCACGCTGGGAGGAACAGGTTATGCTTGCTCGTTGGGCAGCTCTACAGACACACGCGGTCCTGCAGAATAGGCAAGTAAATTAGACTTGCCCTCATTAGGCTGAGAAATGCTGTAAAAGTCACTCCCACCCGCAGCTTAAATTGTGTAACTTGTTTCTCCAAATGGTTCAACTAGCCAACAGGTCAACTCCTGCTCCAAGCTGCACCCACCTAATTATTAGCTAAATTATCTCACATGCATTAGCATTCACTGTTTTACTCCAGATAGCAACCACACACCGAGTTAGAGAGAACACAAATCACAGAGAAACACAAAAAATATCACTGGCAATATTAAGACATCTAGTCTGTTATCAAGTCCTAAAGAAACGTGTCACACGTCTTTCTAGTGTGCCCTAAAACAACACATGAGTTTAAAAGAGGAATGCTTCACCTAACAAGGGAAAACTTTCAGCACATATACCAGTCCTGGACAAGCAGGTTGAAGTGGTTACACAGAAGAAGAAAAATTGACATACACTGAGCATGGCGACGCACAAGCAAGAGGAAAGCAAAAGGTTCAAGGGAGGCCTTGCCTACATTCTTCAAACATCCAGTTGGGACCCTTAAAAACACTCCTTTTGGCAACACAAGGGAAAACAAAAATATAAAAGGTCTACGCAGAAGAATTGTTAACGGCACAGGAAAAATATTAACAGCAACTCTACATATCAATGGCTTGAACAAGTTCAGACACTGGCCTGGGACAGTGAAGCTGAGCACTGGCATTCATCTTACACATCAGACCATGTGAAAAACGAACTGGGTATCCGAATTCATGAGAAAGCCACACTTCCACTAATGGTTCACCGCAAGGCAATTCAAGTCTATTATCTGCCATTAGGAAGAACGTCCTAACTAACCTTCAAAGTATTGCTGTTTGGAAAATATTTGCCATTACTTTTGTTGCTTTCCTCATTTAAGACAGTAGGGTAAATTTGCAGTGCCACAAGATTTTAAGTAGATAGCTTAAAAAAAAAAAAAAAAGGACAGATACTAAATACATACTGATCACTGCACTACATGAAGACTAATTAGGGATTTCACTGGCTGAATTAGGCAGTTTCCTAGACAAGAGTATAACACTAACAATTTAGGATGATTTTCCCTAATTTCCACATACTCTAGCGGCGAGAAGACTGGCAGCAAGCACCAAGACTTCGTTTTTCTCAAAACAAGCCTAACTGTAGTAGAAAAAGTGACCAGTATATATTTGTTTGCTCACCATCTGACAGATCTCATACGGGGAACGTAGGTCCAGCTAAATTCCATCATATATCACCATGGATTATTATCCAAAGCACACAGAAACTCCAGTAAGGCATTTGCAAACATACCCAAACACCTCTAAGAGCTTTACTTGGTTTCTTCTGCCAGAAAGACACAATTTTTTGGATCCCAGCAAATGCAGAGGGAAAAGAACAGAGAAGGGAATGAAGAGCACAAGTAGGTAACCTCTAGAGAAGTCACAGAGCATTTCACTGCTTTTACCAAACACAAGGCAGTTGCCTGCACCATCAAATTCACTCACTTTAAAATTTTGTGAGCTAAAAAAGGAAAGCTGCACTTGTTGGTAGCCAGACTGAGAAAAAAAAAAAAAAAAAAAGAATCGATTACTAATAGATCTAATGTTAAAAATTCGATAAAAATTCACTCTTCAGAGGTGAATGACCCATAAGGACTTCAGGTTGCAGTTCTAACTGGCTACAAACAAGACCTTCCAATAATTTCCAACTCAAATCAGACAGGATTCTTTTCTCTCTGTTGCCAAGGCATTCCCCAACAGACTTCAGGAACAGTTACATTTTGAGTGGACACCCCAGGAGTTTCCCTCATGTTACCTTAATATTCTTCTGAGTTGGAAAGCATGTATCTTTAGCCCAAGCTTACCGTCTACTTCCCAACTGCCATATTCCCACCTATCATGAATACCTGATGAGCCAAGGACATCAGCCCCACACATTTCTCTCTGTTCCTTTAAGCATAAATCTGACAGCAGAAATTCCTCCTAATGAGATTAAAATGTTTTTGTAAAAATCAGAATGGTTTGGGTTGGAAGGGACCTTAAAGACCATCTAGTTCCAAACCCCCTGCCATGAGCAGGGACACCTTCCACCAGACCAGGTTGCTCAAAGCCCCATCCAGCCTGGCCTTGAACACCTCCAGAGATGGGGTGTCCACAACTTCTCTGAGCAGCTGTTCCAGTGCCTCACTCACCACCAGTGTCCGTTAATTGCCTTAAACACCCCCACTATTCATATTCTAGATAGCTAACCTGGGAGCACAGTAGGCCTGTCAGACTTGAATAAAAGTCTACCCCTCCAGGAGAATTCACCAAGACCACTAAGACAAGCATATGGCTCTTCCAAAAGCAAGTGAGAAACCCCATTTTTTAGCTTCAATATTGGGAATAAGATACAGATTTTGAGGGAGGACAGGTTACACTTCTCCATTCTGAAATTGTTCACCTAGAGCTGAAATAGTACCACAACACTTCCCCAGACTGCTTAGCATCAACAATAGGTAAATTTTTACCCATATTCTTGCACAGCTCCACATACTGACATCTCTACAAATTTTTGGTATCGCCATTTTAACCAAAGTTGTTTCTAGTCATTTGCTCCAAAACAGAGGCTATCACCACTAACACTACCAAACAACAGGCAGGACAAGCAAGGAGCCAGAGCCACCGCAGCCAGTGACCCCTCAGGGAAGCCAGCAACCTTCCCCTAGCTGCCGTCTGCAAATCAGCAGTCCACCTCAAGTTTTGGGAATCGTTTCAGCTTGTCATCTTCCTCGTATTCATTTTCAGAATCCGGCAGGATCCCAGATTTTTGGCCTTGGTTTTCAGTAACCGCAAAGTCTGAACAAGCCTGTTCTTAGCTGCTGGTGCTGCGAAAAGCTGCATGAGAAGTTTTGTGAACTTTTACAGAAAACGAAGAATGTCACAAAAGCCCTGGTCCATGCAATTTTTAGGTAAGATTTTGCCATAGTCACTGGGTGCACGTTAGCTGTTCCTGTTAGTGCTTGTGGAAGGTTTCAAAAGACATTTTCCACTTCTGTTGCTGCTGGAGTGGTGCCAGCTGACAGCTTTCATACCCATGGGAAGTGGCTAAAGTAATGCTGGTCTGAACATGACTACATTGCAGGAGCTCTTAATAATAAGATCCCTTCTGGAGGACTCCTCTGTTTAGAAACAGTTGGGTTTTACTGTTAGGGACTATGCTGACTTTCCAAAGAATCCATGTTAGAAATATTCCACTTTATGAAAGGATGCCCAAGATTAATAGGCCTCTACTGATACTCGTGACTCAACATCTCAGTTACTGTAGCTTTCTGAAGAAAGATGGAAGTGGTTTGGTACACGGCAACTTAGAACAAGAATATGGGTGAGGTAACCATAAAGGCAGGTACAGATTTAAAACAACAACAAAAAAAAAAAAGAAGAAAAAAAGCAAGCGGGGGCCAACATAGAGAGATAGAGAACAATCAGGTGCTGCAAGAAATTTCAAATTCTCTAAAATCGTCCTTCCCAGCAAAAGTAACAATCTGTAACTTTTCTGAGTTAAAGCACAGATATCTTAAGTTCTGTGAAAACTATTCATTCCTGAAGCTGGAATAGCAAGTTAGACTCTTCAGCCTGGCAAAAAACACCTGGGGATACAGCAGAAAACTACAAAAGGCATCGATGGCAGATCGAGTGCATAGGGATCAGCTGCTCACTGCCTCTTCCAATACGAGGAATCATAGGCAAGGTAGGTAGAGCCAGGCTTAAAAAAACCCCAACAACAAATCAATGAAAGGAGCAATAGACCTGTCCAGCTATTTAGCAGGGGAGAATACTAAAGATGTCTATGTAAGCTCAAGGAGAAACTGGACAAGTATGTTGAAGAGAGATTCATTATGGGCGACGAAGTAGACCAACCAAAATCCAAAGCTCAGGAAATCCTTTGAACCAGAAACAGTCAGGGGATGGAAACAGTAATCAAACACATGCTTTTCTTCTTAATCCTCACGAGGCATCTACTTACTGCAACGGTAGAAGGAAGCTGGGTTAGATGAGCCTTTGATCTGAACCAGCACAGCCATTCTCATATACTCAGGTGTGGAGACATGGAATTACCTCTTCTCCTTCAAATTGGAAAAGATACCCTTCTCTCCACTATGAGGAGAGAGATTTCCCATCTGCAAGCGTGGATGTTCATTTCAGTCAAAATGAGACAGACAAACAGTGTTCACTTTACTTGCCATATGTCTCCACTTTGGAAGTCCATCCTTGCAAGCCTGCTCTACTTTCCAGAGTTAACAAACACATGTTAAAAGCTTATCAAATTTCATCTTGAGAGCTGTTCCGTGAGTTTTCATCTCCACAGCTCCCACTGGAGTTTTTTTCAGAATCAGAGTGCTCCTATAGTTAGGTATGTTCTAATTTCCATCCTGATCACAGCCAGCTTTTACCCATCTGTTCTTGTGCCAACAATTGTCTGGTTTTGATCTAAGCTGCAAGCCCTCTGACATGTTCACAATAATGGATCAATGGCCTACTACAATGAAGGAAAGCAAAAGGTCAGATCTGCATCACCAATCGCCTATTTTATTTTGTATCTAACATTCCAAGTTACTCCAAATCCTGGAGAAGTGTCAAAACATACACACGCACTTCAGATCCTGCATTAGCCTGCCAATGTCAAGTGAAAATGCAAAGGGATTTTTCTTAAACAGACCGTTCAAACTAGAAAGAATATAAAAAATAAGCACAGACCTGTAAATAACTTTATAGATATATTACACATAATTATGCAAGTCATTTATACAATAAGCATAACAATAAAGAGAAAATAAATTAAGATAGTAATAAAGTATAAAAAACTTACTTCCCAATGTTTTCAGGTAGTGCTTGCAGAGAAATGTCATTTACTGAAAGACACGTTAGATTCTGTAATTCAGGAAAGCTTTCAGGCAACCTATGGAGATATTAATTCAAATCAAGGACTTCCAGCAGAAGTATTCATATTCACGTAATACATACTGGAAAAAAGAACATGCAGTGGAAAACAAGTCTATTTAGCAAATACACACAGAGGGAGGCATGCCCAGACTCCAGCATGACTCTCAGAAAGTTCAAAGAATCATAGTAAGAAAAAAAAAAACCAAAAACAAAAACAACTTAGCGACTTTAAAGCTTGTTTTGTGTCAAAGAATAGGTAACATCCCTGTCTCCTAGCTCCTCTCTTCCCTGCCCCCAATTTGCAACTTTAAAAAGCTACAGGGCTTGAGAACATTTTAAGTATTTTAACAATTTTTTTTTTAAAATCAAACATATTAAAACATACTTTTACTATCACCTAGATGATTAAATAATTATTTTTATTACAAATTATTTTTATTCAGGCTTCAGTTACATACATGATTACAGCATGGCCATTTTGTATTAGCTACTAGGCTTCTCTTCAATTGCTGCTTTTTGAAGAAACAATCTGTTCACTGTGAAGACTGTTGTTACAGCATTTCACACTTACTGGTTCACAATACAACAGCATGTAATCCCTCCCTTCTTACACTACAAAAATGCAGCCATATCCAAAACTCTCCCAAAGTTCCCAAAGCCTTTGGGTCCATCACCCAGCAGGTCTTCTGCAAAGCTCAGCTTCCCCTCCTCTCGCACGCATGCATTCCTGTACCACCGCTCGCCAGCAGCCGGGTTGCACCAAGCAGCTCAGTTTGGAGGTGCACAGGAGACCGGGTAGGGTAAAAGTGGCAATGAGGTAGAGGAGGAGAAGGCCCTGGCCCAGCCATCCACCTTCTGCTCGACCCCCAGAGCGCGCAACCTCAGCTCAAGCCGCGGCGTTTGGTTTGGTTCCTGCCCTCCCCATCACTCAGGTCAAGGCACACACTGTGACCTGTAGGCAACTAGCCAAAAGGAGCCACGCATCAACAGGTAAATATGACTGTGCATGATGGGGAAAGGGAAAAAGGCAAATTTTGATAAGGGGGGGGAGGGGGGGAGCTCATGTGCTCAACTCCATACTGCACTGTCATTTTCTGGACCTTATTAACAGAACATGCTCAATTATCTCCAAAAGGTGAGCTCCACGGTAACTATTCATTACCATTTAGGCTCTAAACAGGTTTAAGACTGGAGTTAAATGGTCTGATTATCTTTTGGTCAGCCTTGAAGCGGACAGGTAGTTGGACTAGATGATCATTGTAGGTCCCTTCTAGAAATATTCTATCTATAGCATATAATGGACCTCCAGTCTAATTACAATAAACGCACCTGCTTTTTATTAATACAAACCTGAAATCATCTGAAAACAGCTGGAAAAATCGTCTGCCACCCACTTTTAATGCTGCAGGTTCATGAATGATTAAGTTTGGCAATGAGGCAACATACTGTATTAGTGGTAGGACATTGATTGGGAAGATCTCTAACTGGCTTTTAAGCTTAGAGGAAATAAGGACAGGAATCAATGGCTAAAAAAAGTTCCAGGATATCACAGAGAAAAGGAAATCCCTGCTAGACTTTCCCACTCAGCCTGGGCAAATTAGTGCCAAAACCTACACCCTGTTGTACAAGTAAAATTGAACTTCTGGATCTCATCACAGAAAATACCTGGCAATCGTGTGTAAACAGCTCCTGGTATCTGTGTGTTCTAACTTAGTAAACTGCTTGGATTGATGTTTTCCAGGACGTGCATATGCTTTGGAGCCACTTTATCAAGAATTTTTAAGATTCCCTTAAACTGTCAACAAGGAGTTATGAGATCTATTTCAACCCCATTAAAAAGCCTTTCAACTCTTCCGTTAACTCCACTCAGCTGTAGCTGCGCATCCCAACTACTGTTTACGGAAACACACTATTTGGCACCCAGGCCTTACTCTGCATACAAAATGCAGAAGGATAACTAACACACTACTACGGACAATTTTGATTTCAGTACCATGAGATGCAGCCCTGAGCTCTGTGTACTGCACACTGATGCCTGGGAAAATGCTGCTTGGTGACCCTCGCCACTTGCGTATCTAAACATCCCTTCAGCCCCAGTTTGCTTTACCGGATTTTTGTGGTATTATTATCCTCGCTATATAAATGGGCTACTGCAGCGGAGGGATTAAGATCACAAGTGTCCCTTTAATACTCGGAGACGTGACTTTCCACAGAACTTAGGACACGCTATGGGTGACATTCAAAACACACTTCTAAAGAAACTCAGCTGCACACGTGGGAGAAGCCGTCTTGCAAAACCGCTGGAGCAGCTTAAGATATTACAGAGACTCTCCTGTTTGTTAGCACTCCTGCACCCCAGCCAGCCAGCTAATCGTGCAAGTATTCCCAGCCCATCTCAGCGCAAAGCAAAGCAGGTTGGCGAGCGCCCATTGCGAATACTCTTGGCTTATGTGACTTGCTCAGCATCACAAAGGAGCTCTGTGGCATGGGCTGGTTTAGGAAACAGGTCTGCAAATAGTATTCACAGCCCTTGACTAGCAGATCACCTCTTTCTCCAGCCTCATTTCACTAGATAAATTCCAAATTCTTCAGCAAATGGAACAGAGAAATGTAAACAAAATTCCTCTTCTATACTAAAAGTCTGCGTAATCCCCAAACTCCGGCTCATCAGACCGCAGACTGGCAGCAGCTGTAGCAGCCACCGACATATGTGATGCATTTTTACCACATGTTACTGCATGTCACTGTGTCCCAATTGATGGGAGGGTGATGAAATGCTAGTCCAAGCTTTAATCATTAGTAAAAGCCATTATCGGCAGCAGCTGATCTGAAGTCTATTCTAAACTGTCAGGCACCTGGGTTTGTGCCAATGCATTCGTGCTAACCACTGCCTTATCTCTCCCAAGTATGAGCACGGTTTTCCTTTGCATTTAAAAAGAGGAATGAAAATTACTTAAGAGACAATCAGATTTACATTTTTCCTGGTTGGCTAACAAATTTCATCCCCTCCCAGGTAAGATGCACATCACTTTTTAAACCTGAACTTTTGCTGCAGTCCCTGCCAGAGACAGACAGTGTTGGCAAGATTTCATAGAGATCCTAGATCACAATTTTCAAGGGCTTATTTAAAATTGTAATTGTTACAGCAAGATTGTAATTCTGGTATGGCAAGTACTAAGAAGAAGGTAGAAGTTACCTAGTCAGTGGATTCCCACTGAAATCTGCTACCTGTAGCGCTCTGCAGAATGAGATGCTTTCTGGTATTTCAGGAATATCTGCAGAAGACAAAAAAAAAGAGAAAAAAAAGTCAACAACTGTACTGCATCTACACTGAAATTATTGTCTTATTACATTCAGTAACTTGCTACTGCAAGGAGTTATCTTGGTATCTCTCAAGACATTTCATCATGTAAGACTGCTTCACGTCCAAGTACACGGCTGTTGTGGCAGAGACATTTTGTGTTTTTTCACATCCTATTTCCCCCTTCTGCTCCACACTCGTCTTCCTGACCCTAGACTACTCACCTGTCCTTGGACTGATCTTTATCAGCCTCTGCCCATCAGAAAAACAGGTTCTCCATGTGCTAGGAATGTCCTAAAGAACCAATTAAATTCTGAACTTCTTGTAATTTGATCAATACACGCCTACAATCTGTGCTGGCAGAAAGTAGGTGGGGAGGGAAAACAGGGGAAGGAAGAAGAGAATGTGCAAGTCTCTCCACCTGTAACATACGCTCATGGGAGCGGACCCGGCCTCCCTCACGCTACAGCCAGGTAATTTGAAAATATTATTCAAATTGATGGGTCCTAAGTAAGTGCTAGTGCACTATTTCAGATGGCCAGAAAGTAATCAGAGATATTTGTATGTGAAAACAGGTATTCTTTTCAAGTGTCTTACACGTAACAAATTTACCTACCAAAGTTAGGCAAGCTATCTTTAAAATAGAACTGTCTTCTGTGCCTCTTACATCAAACCATATTTCCACGAATAGGCAGTGGGTCCCCTTGCTTGCTGTCATTGAGATCCAGCAAACAGTCCTTGTTTGCTGTCATTGAGATCCAGCAAAAATCACAGAATCACAAAATTTTCAGAGTTGGAAGGGACCTCTAGAGATTATCTAGTCCAACTCCCCTGCAGGATTGCCCAGAGCACATTACTCAGGACTGCATCCAGGTGGGTCTTGAAAATCTCCAGAGAAGGGGACTCCACAACCTCCCTGGAGTGAAACAAATGAAACAAACAAGTTTGGTTTCCTTGTTTAACAACTCAGATTTTTATGATTCACTTTGAAAAACAAAACAAAACAAAAAAAGGCAAATCTTGATGTAAAAACCAGGCTTCTGTTTCCAACTTTTTTTCAATTTCCTTTTTTTTTCCCTTCTACAGAGCATTATACCTACTCCATCTCCTCTTCCTGCCGTTCTCATCACAACAAATGCTTTGGGAAATTTCATAGATTTTCCTCATGCCAGTGGCATCACTGATTGCAAAAGCCATCAGTGTTCTAAATATGTTGAAAAATATTTGGAAATTAGGTCTCCTCCTACCTAGCTGAGTAACTCAGTATTGACTTCAATTTATTTCATTCAGCTCTTCTCACCAGAAGTGGTGCGATGGAGGGAGGAGACTACCTGCTCATCAGGTTAATCTCTTGCCAGATAATCTGAGCAAATGCATCTATTTTGTGTGATTCCTGGGTCAGAACCAAACCCAGACCTAGCAAGAACATCTTCCAAACCCAGAGGTCAGCAAATGAATGTGAATGATCAGCAAAAGGGTGGTAGAGGAGCATCTCCTGGGAACCTTCTTCTGTTTCCTACATGAGTGGGTAGGGCTGGAGGGAAGGAAGGAGATGGGCACCCCCAAATGGGTTTCACTCCATCCCAAGAGGTGCTTCCTCTTAGACTGGAAGCAAATCACTCTTGCCTCACAAACTCCAGTGCTCCCAGTACACTCACTAGGCAAAGCTTTGAAAACAGCCAGGGCAGATGGAGAAACGGTTCCTAATGATTACGAGTAGCTCTGGAGTGGTCTCACCACCAACCCCAGAAATATGCTGCATATTCAGAAAATATATTCACTGTTTTTAAATGTCAAAATAATGAATGAGAGGGGTGAATATCCACAGTGCGAGACATCAACCAATCAAGCTGTGCTTCCACACCACCAAACAAAGCCACCTGGGGTGAGGTTTGCCTGGAGCCATGTGCCCAGCACAAATAGTTCCCTCAGTACACCTGGTGAAAGAGAATAAACTACTTTTAAATCTACGCAAACCCTAAGGCCTGTCAACAGCAGTAGTTGTCCCATAAAATGGAATAGGTGACTTTAGAGACTAAGTACCCTCAGAGATGTTTTATATGTTCCTACCCACCCACCCCTTCATAACAGCTTTGGTATTTGAGGGGAAACAGTTGATCTTTCCTAGAAATCCAACAGCAATGAGATAAATTCAGAGTGAAACATTAGGTAAGGCCTTTGAGGTGAGAAGGGACGGGTGACACCAAGTCCCCAAATCAGGACTCGCTCCCCTATGGCAGCCTGCCTCTCAGGAGGACCAGACCACATGGCAGGACACCAGCCCTGTGCCAAGGCCAGAGAGGTGTGGGAGCCACGATTCAGGACCCAGAGAGCAACCGAGCCTCGTGGACAGGCTCTTCAAACCTCTCCATGGGTTTCACCTCATTCACCCAGCACAACACGTGCCAGTGACGCAGTCAACAAGTAGATCCTCCATGAAGAACCTCGGAAGTAGCCATGAAGCTACTGCAGGAGCTGTAGGGCTCCCGAATTAAAATCGGGGACACTTGAACAACCAGCCTATTTCAAAAATTGTCACATTCACAAGCGTCTCTGCTGACCTCACTTCAGGAGTCAAAACCTCACACTTTATTCCTCTCACATGGTAGCGACAAACAGGTCTGAATAGTGGCACTTGAGGAACTTTAAAAAAAAGTATCATTAAGATTGCCTGATAAAATGGTGACCTTAAAGCAATGAATTCTCAAAACACTCTAAGCACTTTAAAGCATTTGCCTGTCACTAACACTCCAGAAAGTAAAAGCACTGGCGTCATTGCAGGGACATTGCTCTGTCTTGCAAAACAGATGGCAAATAAACTACTACTTTTTCTTTTTTCTTTTTTGTTAATTAAACATTCATGTAGAAGCATTTGCTTTTGAAAGGAAGTTCTAAGAAATACAAAGAGTACACAGCAATGGATTCCCTACATAAAAATATACATAAAATCAAAGCTGCATTTACATACAGAAAAGCTGATGGCTTTACCCATTCCAGTCCTCTGTGACTGAGTGTTGCCTGTAGAAGACTGAATTTGTACTACGGGGTTATTGAAGACAGAGGTCCTACATGCACTCAACAGACAATATTACTTCTACTTTGGATTACAGCCATGGCAAACGCTGATACTGAGCTCTGCTAACCGCAGCAAGTAAAGAAGTGTGTCATCCACCATCTAGTCCTCAGAACATCCTTCCCTGGATAACTAGCTGCAAAAGTCCCGAAAGGGACATCACTATTTCAAAGCTTCTGAAGGCTCAGAATAACCCGTTTCTTTGCAACCAAGGCAGCGTCCACAACTTTTATACATGCATGTATGTATACCCACCCCCCTTTCCATACAGATACACACTTTCCCTGTGTGTGAATCATTCTCCCAGATAAAAAAACAAACAAAAAGCCCCACAAAAATCAAACCTCAAGTAGAAGTAACTATCCTAATTTGTTTGGAAAAGAATTAAAATATATACACACACACAAAAAGGTAACATAACAGCAGATGACAAACTTAAAACCTCAATGATAAATGTTTCTGAAACTAACCATGCTACTGATTTCCTCCGCTAATGCGTAGTTTCATTGCCATATTGCGAATAATTTCTCTTCTACTTCTGTATGATACACTATGAAAACCAGAAAATAGGCCTTCTCAGCAAGGCTATTTTGATAAGCTTTTTCTTTAAAAAGAAAAAGCTGTATTGGGTATTACCTGTAAAAGCCAACAAGTATCTGAGCTAAGTAAAAATTACTCCAATATAATATACTACTTGAAATAAGACAGTATAGGCACCGCTTATAGTTCAGATGCATTTGCAAATTACAAAATATGTTCTGAAAATGAAATGCACTTCCCCAGCCTAGATATTCCAGACTGTGAAGTCACTACCTGAGCAAAAATCTTCAATAAGAAACAGTAACAGGCACAGGGAAAAGAAGGGAAATTCCATTTCTATGTTAACCTTTTTTTTTTTTTTTGCATGTAAAGTGCATTTTCCTCCCCGCATGAATACCTTTTTCTCTATCTAATACATTTTTCTCCTCCACCTAACTGCATAAGCAACAGACAAAAATTCACTACAACTCTTTGAACCGAGGATCATTATACATTTAGTAAGTTCAACAAGGTTGAAATATAACTTGTTTTAATTGCAAGGCATCTTAAAAAGATTTCTCAGGCAAAAACACGATCGAGTTATGAGCAGATACTTTACCACTACATGTGAAGACTACTGTAACATTGCGTTGATTAAATGAACTCAGAAGAGGAAAGGCAAGGAGCATTTTAGTATATGACAAAAAAACCCAGAGTGATTATTAAAGCTGAGAAGACGATGGTCCATAATAGAAGCATTGACATAATCAACTGAAATGCAACAGAGGATACTAAAATATATAAAGAAGTCCTTCTGTCTCTTGATGGATTAAGCAGCTTTCACCACTACTGTTGACTGCTCGATTTCCTTACAGACATCAACACGTATGTCTCTGCCAATACCGGCAGCAGTAAGGTTGAATGCTTTTCTTGCCGTTGCTGCATAACCAGCTCAAATCCTACTTAAATATCTAGGATTCTTCTAATGCTACACACTGATGAACGCTCTACATTTACACGGTGCCCCAGATGTTCTGGCATACAGATTGCGCGGCATTGCTAATAATAAAGCCATAAACCAAGCATAAGCCCTGTGACGTGTGGCAATACAAATACACTGGCAGCAAAAGAAGTCATGCCAGCAGAAGTGGATGAAAATCAAGCTTGGCAGTCATGTACATAAGAGGGCAGATTCCCCCCTCCCCCCCTTCAAAATACCTCTTCAGATGTTTATCATTCTAGTTTGCACAAGAATTTGCTAACGATCTAGCAAGTCTTTTACAAGTGACTTAAGAGGCAAGTTTGACACTAGGGAATTCTGTACTGTCGAATGAGAAAATTATGTCTAAAAACCCTTTTGTTTGGTGCTGATCTATTTTTTG